TGCATCCTGTGTGAACTGCCTCGATACTATCATTAAATCATAATCATCTTAAGCAGAGATAGATGGTGATTAGTAGTGGGGTTCAGAATATGAGTTTATTCTCATTCAAAGCTCATCATTTCGATGTGCCTACACTTCAGAGTAAACATCAACTCTGAGAAACAGGCACATTTAGCTGATGAGTTTCAAATAAGGTGAAACACGCATTGTGGATTGCACTGTTAACTATAATCTTTCTCTGCTTATAATAACAATATTTGACTTTACCCAGCTTACATTTCTGATGTATAGTTTAATGAAGCATATCATTCACTTTTTCCCCCTAAAAATGACAAATCGACTAGAGAAGAGAATGATTTCTATGTATCAAAAACAATTATTTTGATAAATAAAGAGAGGCCATTAATCATTAACATCTAATTAGAAAGAAATTATTATTGATCGTAATTGGAATTTTTTTTAGAAAAAAAATCACGTAAAATGTAGTTTTCATTTCAAGTTAATAACACGCATAAAATTTCAATGACAGATAATAATAATGATTACAGAATTCACTCCAGTTTACAGGTATGATCAGTCTGATATAATTAGTAACATTAAATATAGATTGTTTTAAGTTTACTAGTTCAAAAATTGTTTAAGTAGTATATTTATGATGTGTATTACAGCAGTGGAATGCACTAGACGGGAAATTTTAATTATTCTTAAATGGATATCCTGTTGATTTATATACGGTGTATTTAAGATCATTTCCTGTGTCATAACTACAACTAGAGAAAGTAAGAATGGAAACAGAGAGTACGGAACAACAAAGCAATAATTACTAAAATATGTCAATCAGGTTTACTATAATGTATGTGTCATGTGACTTATTGATATACTGTTCATGTTAGATATTATTCAAATTAGTTAGGGATACAAGGGACGGTGTTAGCATATAGTAACAGAAGGTAGGTGGTTTACTTAGCGAATTCAGTAACAAGAATGACTAAACATTTAAAGTTCTTATAATCTCACTTGTGGAATAAGATACATTTACAGTTGCGAAAACATTTAATGCATTTTTTGAAGAGCAGGGAACAAAGAATGGGAGTGATTTTATCTTATGGATAGATTATGGTAGGTCATTCCAGAGTCTCGAAAATTTACAGGTCAAGTAATTCATATATAGAGATGATTTAGAATGGGTTTGTTTCATTAGTGACAAGCAGTCACAGATGTCATAATCAGAAGCTTCTGCATATTGAATTACTTGACTGAATGTAAAGGATAGTTTATTAAGTATTTTGAAGAAAAAGATTAGATTTATTTTGAGTCTTCTCTTTCATAAAGGGTCGAGCCCAAGCTTATTACATCTGGAATTATAATTCAAGATACAATCGGTTCTAAGAACCTGAAGTGTCAGTCGTCTCTGTACTGAGTAAAACCTTAATTTACCCTTTATGCGCACACTACTAAAAGTAAACGTACAGTCTTCTAGGAGTGGTCAAACACAAACATTGTACGTGACTCATTGTTATGCATCAGCTCCATGTTGATGCAACTTCACATATTGTTCAGCTCATGAGGAGAAAATGAATACCCTACTTTAAGGTCTTCTGCACACAGAAGGGGCTTACCCACACAAAAAACTACAATGAGTAAAGGGCCTAAGATGCTAACTTGTATTACACCACTTCTAGCAGGGACAGCGTTCAACAATGATGAGTTAATTTTATCTATTTGATTTCGGTTGCTGAGGAAGGAACCAAACCAAGCAAGCAAAGGGTTTGGGACCCCGTAGGTTGGTTGTTAACCATGTCGAAGGCTTTAGAAATGTCCAAGTATAGCACTAAGACTAGATATCCCTGGTTACGTTGAGAATAGGCTGGATTAAAAAAGTCAAAGTGGCATGTCACTCAAGATAGATTTTTAAGAAATCCATGTTGATCACCATTGATAAAGTTTTCAGCTAAGAAATAGTTGGAGAGTTCGTCACTAATAATTTTTCCCACAATCCTAAAGATCACTGGAGTAATATTAATGGGCCGATAATTGTTCATGTCAGTCTTATCTCCGGATTTGTAACATGATATGATTTACGTGGTTTTTTGACAGCGAGAGTAAGCATCTGTCTCCATACAATAAGCAGCTTTAGAAGAAGAAAAGGAATATCTGAACCACCATATTTGTAGAGAAAGGATGGAATCCATGATTGCCCGAGACTTTAAGGGAGTTTATAGCCTCACTAACGTTTAGTTATATGAAGGATATATATTTTATCGAGTCACAAGTCACGCATATGACTCTTGAAACAGTGTCATTTAGGAGCTCTCTACCATTCACAAAAGTACCAATGAAAAGGTCTGCTATAGCTTTGGAGTAGTATATAAAATTGCTATTATGCAGGATGCGTGGTATATCAGGATTTTGAATTACTTTAACGCGTTTATTGAGAAGGAGAATTAGGTTTTATACTTTTGTGCTAGTATTAAGTGCCAACAGCTCCTCGTTCATGGCTTTTAACCTGTACTTCTCATTAATTTGGTTAAACAATTTTGTTATTTATGCAGCTGCCATGAAGTCATTTGATTTAAAATAACGTTTCTGTAGGCGCTTTGGTTTACTACGATATTTAGCTGGTATATATAATTCATAAGGTTCATTACACCTGTACGTTTCAGGGGGTGCTCAAGAATCTAGACGAGAGTTGACAATCAGATAGGATGTATCGATGGCATCCACGAAACTATTACATGACAAAAAGTTATCCCGGTCTGAAAATCTAACCACTGAGCGCTGGAGGTCCCAGTCAGCATGTTTATAGTCTCTATATTGGCGGGATTCTGCATGAGTCGGTTATAATAGGGATAGATAGGGAGAGCACAAACCATTATTTTATGGTCACTGCTTTCAAATTCATTGTATACTTGTACAGCTAGTAGGATGATATCTCTATTAAGTAAATTATTATTATAATAAACAAGTATTCCAAACTTTTGTAATATCTCCCCATCTAGACATATTTCTGAATACATTTTTGATATGAACTTGAATCATCTAGAGAGAATTGAATAGGTTCATCGAATCAGTTTAAAACTCAACAGTACAACCCTATGACTGTGTATGTTTCTCAAGTCTGTGGCTAATAGAAATTGTCATCACTTAGAATGCAATTAAAATGATAATTTCAACTTAGCAGTATATCCTATAGATTGATATATAAGTTTTGTTTTTGCATTATTATTAAATGGAATTAGTTATTCTGATGGATAGTTTATTAATACGAATACAACATAAAGAATCTTATCTAGGTATTTAGATTTCTTAATGAACATCTTTACATTTATCTTACACCTTTAAGAATGATAATAATATTTAAATTCATGACGTTTTTTGTAACTTTATTTATTATTCAATTTCATAAGTTAGTAACCGTATATGAAAAATCCTCAATAGAATTTGAATTCCTTTATTTCAATCTTAACTTTATATTTGAATATATTTCATTTTAATCGTAATTTTCAGTGCTTTAGAATAAGTGAATAGTAGAAAGGTAAGTGAAATTACATTATTAATAATAATAATAATAATAATAATAATAATCATTCGATTCAGTAACATCTATAGATAGTTTTCATTCTGTTTTGTATTTTTGTTGTTCTCATGTCATTTCATAGTACAATCATTTAAATAAAGATAAAGAATTATGAAAATCAAATGCCATAAAAATAACTAACCATTAAATTCATTTTTATGACAGATAAATTATAACAAAATGAAATATAAGAAAATATAATACATTCAATTGAACATTGAATATTGACAAACAAAAACACCGGAAGATGTAGGGCAACATTAAATAATTATCATAAGACATAATTATTAGAAAAAGAAAATCTATTCATTATCTCATTTAACTATAATACTAAGTTAATATTACTGTAAACTTTCATTCATTTTACATACACATTTAAATCACTTTGAAGACAGTACACTCAATTCATCAAACATTGAGTAATACAAGTATATTAGATAGGAAATTATCGGTAACATGATGCTTACATACTCTTTCTTTTTTATTTTAATTTCTCGTCAATTGTAGCTGTTATTATTATGTGTATGATAACACAATCATTAGAAAAAGAAAATCTATTCATTATCTCATTTCACTATACTAATATTACCATAGAAAAAAAAACCCCAATTTATTTTACTTATACAAATTAAGAAAGAAAAAAAGAGGAAAAACTAAGTTTATCCATTAATTTAAAGAAAAAAGAAAAGATGATCAAATAGTTAGATATTTCTGAATTCAACATGTAAAATGAAAAAACAAACAAACTAATCAATAAAGGAGAAAAAAAGGGGCTTCAAATGAAGTACAACATTTATACTTCAGATATAGATATCATTTTAAAATTGTGAATTAGAATAAAAAGTTTTTCTTTTTATACATAAACATCTTTAGAATTAGATCAAGTGAAATACAATTAGACAATAAGATTAATATTATAATGGTTGATATAGCTGATTTTGTTTCCACGAAAAGAAGATTTAATAATGATAATATTGTACAGAACAATTTAGTTTAGTTGACAAATTTAAAATAGACACACATACATACACACACACACACAAGAAAAATGAAAACTCATATATTTCTTCTTTTTTTTTGATAACCATTACAAGCATTAAAGAGGTAATAAACGAAGGCAAACTAGTTTCTCAATGGTAATGTTACTGATGTAAATAATAATATAAATATCAATACATGAATTGGAAATGTGATGGCATATTGTATGAATGATAAATATCTTTTCACAGGAATAATCATATATCCATTTTTATTGTCAGTTAACCATGAATTTCATTTTATTATTTGGCTTAGATTTGAAAGTATTTCATAATTGAACATTTATTTGTAACTCAGATCAATAAATAAACTGATGGTTTGTTGAATGTAAAGTTCATCATTATTAGTAGACAAATGAATTGAATTGTAATGTATATATTTTCCATTAAAATTCTTTGAATAAATTACGAGAACTAATACTGGATAAGGGAATTTCGGACCAATCTTGTTCAAAATACTGTTCATAACAGCAGGTATCACCATCACTCTGTACATTGGGAATGATTGGGGGCTAAAATAATTTTAAAAAAATGAGTTATTGGTCAATGATATGTATATATACTACAGAATGTGATCCATTGTATTTTTAAAAATTGCTTCAATAGTGTTACACTGTCTAGGAGACTATAAGATCCTACATTCAGTCTAACATTTGGTTATACATAGGCATAGTCAATGACACCGAACTTCCATTAGACATATCCTCTATTCAAAATTCTGGAAACTTCCAAAATACCTTTCTCTTTTTGGAAAAATAAATTATTTATTAATTGTTGCTGTTAACATATCTCATTATCGAATCTGAAAATATCTTTTATATAGATCATCTACCATTTCTAAGTATCCATAGAATCTAACTAATATCATCAAGTAAAATGGTCAGAGTTAGTTTGCTGACATTTAGATTTTACCAGTTAGAATAAACAGAAATAAATGATTATTTATTAACAGAAAGTTAGATGGACTTTCTTGACAACAGTATGACATTATTAATATTGTTAAGAAGACAAACAACTGTCAGAAGTGGCTAAATACAATTCTTATTTTAGGCCCCTTACTTTTAATAAGTTGGAAAGGTAGATCACCATGATTTTCATACTTTGTTAAATTTTCAACTGCCAAAACGGCTGGCATATTTGATCGTTATTGTTTTATTTCTGTGAGGAGCTGCATGTGGTTTTGTACAGGAGTTAAAAATTACATAAATTTTGAAATTTACATAAAACAGCTGGCACACTGCAGTACCTCTGAATTATTTGTTTAGAAAAAAATAACTTACTAGCTTGTATATATGCATCTATAACTATATATTTCCCTGTGTAAAGCATTTTATCAAGAAGTTATCTACTAGATATTATACAAGAAAACATGTAATAATGTATAGTTCTTCTCTGTGTCAAGCTTGAAGGTTACTCACTTTTGTGGTGCATAACCAGTTCCTCGGCTAACAAAAACGTGTTACTTTTACAGACGTTAATATTTTTCACTTGAATTATGAGTCCATGAAAAGATGATGACATAAACAGTATTTAATACTCATATGCTATTTTCAAGAAGTGACTTGTGATGACGATTAAAAAATTGCATGAAACCTACCTCCAGAGCTATCGATCAACTTCGTCCAACCACCTAATATATTAACACACTGCATTCAATTAAATTAGACTAGTGAACTAGTCAACAATACTGACCTAAACATAAACAACATTGGTCATTACTCAATGATTCATCAGTTGTAAATATCTCAGTCTCACAAGAGGTCAGTTAAGAGAAGAATATCTAAATGATAACACCTTGAGCTACAAAGCTTGGTGATGTAGGTCATAATTTCGCCGAAAGTATCAGTTTCATCAATATCACAGGTTTACCTTTGCTTAGGGATGCCAAACAGCACGAGAGCTGGGTATGCAGTTGCCTATCGATTAACTCCAAACGCCTAACAATAGATATCAATTTACTTCAATAAATAAAAACTATAAAACAGTGAAATTTCTTTAAGTTCTACAGTCACTAATAGATCAGCTAATTTTACTGTTCATTTTATTTCGAATAAATCTGCTGAGAACTAAATTTAGTTAATTTATGTCGATTCAGTTACAGTAATCATGTATATAATCATCCCGGCGATTTTTGTTTGGTGCTCATTTCATTTGTAAGAGTTTACATATAGAAATATGAAGACTCATATTTTTGTGTCAGATTCAATAGTTCGAGCCAGAAATAACACTTGATACATACAAGTGCCAAAGCTCAACTTTGGTGCTTGGTACAAATTTCAGCATTTGGTAATGTGTACCAAATCGTCTGTAAGCTTTTTTGAATGGAACCATATGAGTTGGATCATAATTTTCTTTTTCCTAGTACCTCAACTATACGCATTCAACTTCAAACATGTGTTTGTGACAAATAAAATAAATAAGCATAATAAAAAGAGTAGCTCTAGTTAAGTAAATTATGATTGTTGATATAATGAACCATCATAATTTATGTATGTCCAGCTTGCTCGAAATCAACAGGGTAGATTTAAGAAGTCAATAGATATAAGATAATTCAAGTGATCGGGTATCATAGCTCAACTAATAAAGCTTCGAACAATTAATCTAAATCTCTCTAGCTGAAATAAATTTTCACCTTAACATTTCATCAATAATATGTACCACTTAGTTTTAAAGTGAACAGATTACTGTCAGTAATCGATATATACATCTAAAACCAGAGTGCGTAAAACTGTTCACTTGAACAAACTGTTTGTTAGACTCACTTCGATGTGAGATTAAATGAATGCTACAACCCAGTCAATCAGTTATCGTCAAACATGTTAACTCTATTTTTTTCAAAAAAACTGTGAATCACTGGTTTTAATATAACAATGTAATATGTAACTTCGAAAATAAATCATGGCGTAGGCAATGAGTGATACTTAAAGTTAACATATAATTTACTTTCATTATGCATTACTAATGACTAAGGTATTCCATTAACTTTATGTTCAAACTACACTCACAGTCAATAAGTCTTTGATTTCAAACATAGTGTTTCAGTTTATTAATGATAATGGGAAATAGTAGATTTTAGAATTTCACTGGTTACTTTTGTTTAGTTAACTTGATACCGTTAATTAGTTTTAAACAAAAGGTGTGGATATGTACTGAGTTAATCAGTTGCAATTATATATTTTGAAATGTCTTTTATAGTTTCTGTAATTAGTCTATTGATATTAGAAATGTCCCTTAGTGATTTTAATTTTCGTTGATTTTAAAAGGTATATCAATAGTTCATATGAAATAAAATTATACCAAATCACCTTTAACTTTCTCTGGAAAACATCACTCCAACAAATATCACTGAACCACGGATGTTCTAATATTTCATACATACTATCCTGTAATAAAATATACACAGATAAACAAAAATAACAGGTACATTTCTCGTCAGTATAATTCTCAAAGATTATTAATAAGTCAGAATGGGTTTTGTGGAGAATTTTAGAAATTTCACAGGTTGAAATCATGAGTCAGTTGAAGCTAGACCACCATTGAAAACCTGGAAGCACTGGACGGCCGTTTCGCCCTGGTATGGGACTCCTCAGCAGTGCGCATCCACGATCCCGCACCACGCGGGTCCTCGAACCCAGGACCTACTGGCTTCGCGCGCGAGCACTTAACCACTAGACCACTGAGCCGACATCCAACGGTGTTAATGTCTAACTTCAACCAATCCACGAAGTTGCGCCACCGTACACCATTGTCTTAAGTGAGTTGTTATCTCATTTGCAAATAGTAACTGGTTTTCATTAAAATTCAGTCATTTGATACTGAATCTAAATGGTCTAGTATTCACTTATCTTTTCAGTTTCCATCATTCTTCCCTCAAATAAGATTAACAATTAATAAGATTATTTTCATCTCCTTTCACTTTTTGACAAAGTCCTGATATTAAAACATTGTTAAGCTTTATCACAAGTTGATTGAATTTGTAAATTTGAACTGTTAGCTAAATCGTTTAAAAATAACATTCTCGTGTGTCTTAAGTGTTATCTGTGATTGAATCATGTGTATACACTGAGCGGCAGTCTTAAATTCTAACTAAAAATTAATCTCATCCATTAATCATGATTATTTCTGCAAGGTTGTGATCAAGAAAGGATCTGTTATTAATAACTTATTACATTGAAAAATGTAAAACAAACAACAGGAAAATAAACTATTTAATATTCTAGAAACAAATAAGTGTATTGTTTCTCACTTAGATTTGCCTCTAATTGATGTATACCATTTTCGCAACAATATTAATTAATGTTGAAAGTTTATTTTAAGTTTTGCTGATTTATTTCATAAATCAAGGTCTTTAACATGTTTATGAAACAATTTAACTCAAATAGCTGAGATGATAAATCTTTTATCAGAATAACGCCAGTTAGATTCATCAACCACAAGAGCTCTAGAAGAAGCATCAGAGAGAAGAAAGAATTCTATCAATGTCTTATTCATTTTTAGTAAGGTCAAACTTATATATATTTTTAATACAAATTAAAAGTGGAATACAGTGTAGGGTCCTTCTTTCTACTTGTGATTCGCTAAATGGATGTTTCTGCATTCTAATATTGATACTCATAATAAGTTTAAATAATATCCATCATTTCATAAGCCATTGTTTTATCAACTAAACTCCTTAAAAGATTTAGTCAGTAAACTGTTAAACAAAGTAATCTTTATCAATATTATTATTCTTTATAATGAGTTTTGTTGAAAAACATAAAAATGTATAAAATATTAAGGAATCTTCTGAAGAAGAAAAAATTGATTTAATTCATATCTGAACATTAAAAACAGGAAAGCAGCAACTTATAGATAATTGTAAGTTTACCATACAGTTAAAAAGTTATCATTCATAATTTTATTAGAATAGAATGAATTCATTTTATTTCGTAGGTTCTCGTCAGCTGCTTACAACCTGTGAACAGCTGACGAGAACCTACGAAATAAAATGAATTCACGCTATTCTGCTAGAATCTTTGTTCTTGCTCTTTTCAAAATGATAAAGGGAACTATGTGTATGAAATAATTTTATTCGTTTGATAAAAGACACCGCAGATGATGATGTGAACTTTTAAGAACTCTAAAAGAAACTTCTCTATTCTTAAAAAAATTGTTTTTATTTCTTACTTTAGAACTGCCAAGTCGTTCATTGAGATTCACACGTAAAAATTTCCTGACGATTGATCTATTTGTGACAATAAAATGCATTAAAATAAAACTGAGTAGATAAATATGAGAAAGAACGAAAATGAGTAAAAACAAAACAATGAATCTTGACATTCGATGAATTACTTTTCTAGTTTAAAAAAAAAGTACTCAATTTTATTTTTTAGATGTTAACTTGCAAGACATGTCATATAAAATGAAACGAAAAACGACCATGAAAGTTAAAACTGACCAATACGTGTATTACGCTAAATTTTGCCTATATAGAAATCGGAATAGTAGTGGACACTTGTCATTGTTTGTTTGAATCTTCCCATTAATGTTTCGAACTGCAATTGATCAGTCTCTTATTGACATATGTGCATACTGTGCGTATTGCCTCGATAGAGCTTTAATTCACGAGCATTATATGCAAAGACGGATAGTGGCTAGCAGTGGAATCCAGGACGCGCATTTCGTCCTATCTGGGACTCATCAGATGGATGTACCTGCATCTCAAAGCTGGTGTTTACTCTGGGACTCGAACCTAGTACCGTTCGTTTCAAACAGCATCGCGTTATCCACTTAGCACAATATGCATATATGCCAATAAGTGACTAATCACTTGCAGTCCTAAACATCAATAGGAATATTCAAACAAACAATACCAAGTGAATTTAAACTTCACCTAATTGCACAAGCAAGTGGCTATCAGGTCTCAGTAGCTTAGTAGATAACGCGATGGCGTTTAAAGCGAACGGTACTGGGTTCGAGTTCCGGAGTGAACATCAACTCTGGAGTGCAGGCACATTCATCTGACGAGTCCCAAATAGGCAGAAAAGGATGTCCTGGATTCCACTGCTGGCCACTATCCATCTTTGCATACAATATTGGACACGTTTGAAATTCGGAGTAATAACATTTGTTGAACATGTTGTAAAGATTTTTACAGTTTACGTACAGTTAAAACATGTAACTATTAACATTTGTGTAGCTATTTACTCAGCTCTTAATATTATATAATAAAAATGTCCTGTTTTGGTAAGGTTTGTGACATAAAAGTAGCATATTTGTGCTGTGGTAACAGATTTTACTTCTATTCACATGACTTAATCTTTAAGTGTAATCAGCCAAAATATTTTCAAGATCTTTTAAAATGTTGAATAAGTTTAGCATAAACGACTTGAATGTTTTTAAATGGACGATGGTAACAATTTATTGCTTATATATTTGTTCTCTACTGAATCTAAGACTTCAAAAATGTGTTTGATAAGAGAAAGATAAGACTTATGATGCCTTCACTGAATACAGCCTGTAGTAAATTTATTTAGAAAGTATCCCATTGAGATAGACACTGGAATATCAGAAATGTTTGAGTACCGATCAATTGCTTACATGAATAAAAAAGTTGTTCAAGGTTTAAATGACTTAGAAGACAGTACACCCAATCGAAACATGGAGTAATACAAGTACGTTAGGTAGGAAATTATTAGTGACGTGATGTATACAAACTCTTTTTTCATTTTTGTCAGTTGGAGCTATCATTATGTGTGCTGATTGAAAAGATTCGTCCATCAAACATTATTAACATGAAATTTCAATACTACACAAAGTAATTTCAGGTCAGTTATAACTATTGGCAAACTTATGAGAAAAATTTAAACAGCACTAATTATTAAGCTGCATATTTTTAAAAGTAAATTATTCAGCTGAATTAAAATGATTTGATAAATGTTGAATTAGTTTGAAAGTGATGGAAAACCAGAAAATAAATAGCGAAAAATAATGATTGAATGTACTACATTTCCCATTTAGATAAGCAATAGAATCATATATTTCTAATGTTAATATAGTGAATCTATGAATAAGGCAGTTATCAACTGGGTTTAATTTATAAAACAGATAAAATATATTTTCCCCAACATAACATGTCTTAACCTTAACACAGGTAAACAACGATAAAGGGTCATAAAATATATTACTGCACAAAACAAACACTACTTACTTAGCATTTTCATCTACGATTTCGTCTGGGAAGTCAAAATCTCCTGATACAATTTTCTGATATATATACAATCGATTATCGTTTTCATCATAAAATGGTGGACGACTACAAACAGCGAATGATCATCCATCCAATTTAAAGTTAATTAAGTAAAGCAGGATAAATTAATTAAAAAAACAAGCAATACGTTAAAGAATTAATTGACTCAATTTAAACAAATTTTATGTTTACTCATTTTTATAAAACTAAATCTTCAAATTACTTACTTACTTACGCCTGTCACTCCTCGTGAAGGAGCACAGGCCGCTCACCAGCATTCTCCATCCAACCCTGTCCCAAGCGATCCTTTGCAGCTCCTTCCAGTTCCTATTCATCCTTTTCATATCTGCTTTTATTTCCCGACATAATGTGTTATTTGGCTTTCCTCTTTTCCACTTCCCTTCAGGATTCCAAGTTAGGGCTTGTCTCGTGATACAGTTTGACGATTTGCGTGATGTATGTCCTATCCATTTCCATCGTCTTTTCATAATTTCCTCTTCAGCTGGAAGTTGGTTTGTTCTCTCCCACAGAAGGCTATTGCTGATGGTATCCGGCCAATGGATGTTGAGTATCTTGCGTAGACAGCTATTTATAAATACTTGTACTTTCTTGATTGTGGTTGTTGTAGTTCTCCAAGTTTCAGCTCCATACAGTAGAATTGCCTTGACGTTCGTATTGAAGATTCTCACTTTGATATTGGTTGAAAGTTCTTTTGAGTTCCATATGTTCTTCAATTGTAGGAATGCGACCCTTGCTTTGCCAATCCTCGCCTTTACGTCTGCATCTGAACCTCCTTGTTCATCGATGATGCTTCTCAAGTATGTGAAGAATTCTACATCTTTCAGAGTTTCGCCATCAAGAGTGATTAGATTGCTATTCTCCGTGTTGTATTTGAGGACCTTGGTTTTCCTTTTGTGTATGTTGAGGCCTACTGATGCACAGTCTGTTGCTACACTGGCTGTCTTTATCTGCATTTGTTCATGTGTATGCGATAGAAAGGCTAGATTATCTGCGAAGTCCAAATTGTCTAATTGATTCTGAGCCGTTCGTTGTATTCCATGTTTTCCCTCAGATGTCGAGGTCTTCATAATCGAGTCGACCATCAGAAGAAAGGGGAAGGGAGTGAGTAGACAGCCTTGTCTGACTCCGGTCCTTACCTGGAATGCGTCTGTTAGCTATCCTCCATGCACTATTTTGCACTGTAGTCCGTCGTATGAGTTCTGGATAATATTGACAATCTTCTCAAGAACTCCGTAGTGTAAAACTGAAAGCCGAATTCCTTCAAATTACCTTTATCATAAATAATTCTTTTCAATCATCAATGGTATTATATCAACATCAGTGTAAGTTATTTTTATTTACTATTCAGCTTTTCACAAGAAAGTTATTAAAGTAAATAAACCTTAGGCTCTACATGAAACGATAAAATCATCCATTGATTGATAAATAAACAATAAATTTGAATGAAACAATATACCTCAAACGTTAAGCAAATTCAGATAATTTTTATGTCATTTGCCTAAACCTGTGAATGTTAATGGTCGTTGTTTTTTTTTTATAGCAAATGTAACGGCTTACAACAGAAATGAACCGTTCTATTGAATGTTTTAAAAATAAACTTTAAAAATAATAATAATAAATTCATTAAAGAAAGACATAATGTGTCTGTAGTGCAACAAAAATTGCCTTCAGGCATGAAAAATAGATGAAATCGACTTTATGTATTATAAGACTCATGTTGATTATACAGAATATTTGGATGTTTGTTATCAAAGAAAATACATTTTGTTCTTGAAAGAAAATTAAACGAAATATAAAATTCATTAGAAACATGAAACTGTTTGGTTTAAATGTTGGAGATTTAGGTTACAGCCGTGTGGTTTGATGAACGCCGAGTGATATATGAAAGTAAAATAAAAACGAGATGTTTTTTTCATCCTTTTTTTTAATCATGTCGACTATCTTTGTGTTTTCATGTGTGCATTAAGAAAACAAATTTTTGACCGATATATAAACGTTTCATTTTTGGATCTTCACTTCACTATAACGCTAAGTTTTCTACCTATTGGCCGATGATTAAGGCTAACTCTTTATTGGTGACTGATCATACTCACAACTATATTTTTCATCTGCTTATCCAGAAAAACTGATCTTTTCGACCACATCACAGATTGAATCATTACAATAAGTAATAATGCATGACTTTTCTTACCCTAATAGATAGATATTTTGCTTATTGTGAATCTGAAATTTATGTTTGCGATCGACTATCATTCAACTTATTATCCTAGTTTACACTAATCGACCAAAAAAGTAACATATCCGGAAATGGGTTAATTATGTGATTACTTGGAAGATGGAAATAAACAGATCTTAAATAAATAGATAAAACGTACCCAACCAACATTTCATAAATAATAATTCCTGTAGTCCACCAATCAGCTGCATGATTGTGACCTTTACCTTGGAGAATTTCAGGTGCCAAGTATTCTGGTGTACCACAAAGTGAATAAGTTCTAAATGTAGATGAAACATCATAGGAAACAACCTATCAACTAATGATATCATTTTTATATGGTTTTGACTAATAAATATAAATTAAAGTTCTGTGGTGACATACTCAGTAGGGTGTTCATTTGTGATAATTTAAAATGTTTAGATGAATTGTTTATTATCCGAACCAATAACCCACATATTTCCATGCTCTTTCATTTAAAATTTATCTCATTTACACAAGTTTTGTAAAAATCAAAAAATACGAGAACGTTTCCTAATTACTGACTATAGAACTAATTGTTTATAAGCTACATCAATAAAAAATGCATTTTAGTGAATAATTGTTTGTCATTAAAAAACTAATTGACTTGTACATCTATATTAAGACATCATTATACACATAGTTTTGAAAAAAATAGCTTTGTCAACTCTTTTTTCCGGAATAGGACGTTTTTAAACTCTTATGAGTAAACTCAGATTGTGTATGGAAAAAAAGGTTTTTCTTGCGTGGTTGAGTCATTGATACTAAATTTACTTAGATTCCTCACTATCAAACGTATATCCAGTTATAACCGATGTTATATAAGGTAATGTTCCATGATATTTGGTTTTTATTGTCTTTCATAAGTGATGTTTATTATTATTTCAACATGGGTAATTTTTTTCTGGTTTTAGTATTCATTTTCCCACACGATCATTGATATACAAAATTGCGTTACAATGGAATTCAACAAGATCTCACCAATGTACAAGAAGTATGAATTAGGACATAGTACTGAAAAAAGCAGATAGCCTTGCCTGAGTGATCTTCATCACTACTAAAGCTTCTTCATAAATGACATGAAGTGGTCTTGTTTTTACTGAGTGGTAGATTTGTCTACAGCTTGTTTTTTATAATATGTCACTAAGCAGATATTAAGGTGATGTCAACTTTTGTGTTACATACTGAATAATTTGCATAGATTTCATTGTACATGGTATATATTCTATCAAAGAACACTATTATTATGAGTAATGTTTTCATTGAAGATAAAACTAATGAAGAATCTGCTCTAGGTATCTTTACTTCCTCTATGACTGTACTTTATATCAAGAATCCAGATGCAACGAAACGGAAAATGATCCTTTGTAGAATCAGAAGCTAATCTAAATCTGATAATTTTTTAAAGGTTTTTAATCAGTTACCTTCTACATGCAGCAGTTCTATTGAACTCGTTATAGCAAGAATTTAAAACATTCTCAACTCAATGTTGATGTTCATTGAAATCATGAACCGTACAATGCGAGACTACTATTGAATTTGTGAAAGCACTGAACGGGCTGCGCGAGACCAAAAGTCCTGGGTTCAAGTCCGACGCGTGGGATCCTGGATGCGTACTGCTGAGGAGTCGCGCGCTGGGACGAAACTGCCGTACAGTGCTTCTAAGTTTTTAATGGTGGTCTTGTGGTGTGTGCTACCGGTGTCGACAGATATAAGTAGTATGTATCATCAATTGAAAGTGAAATGTATGGAGACAGAAGGTTAAGAAGATAGAAGGAAAGAGAACGAGAACAGAGAATGATTGGTGTGGAAACGAAAGAACAATGGGGTCTGAGATGATTGATTGACATTTTGCAGAAGGAACAGTCAATTTACTGTATATTTCTCAGATGTTACTAAGATGTTCTGTGATTTTCTATTCAAATACATTTGATTGTCCAGATTGGTGTTGTCGTTCACGATGGTCTTACATCGATCGATCTGTGGTTTCAATGGAATTCGACAATATCCTCAACTGCTTACTGTCAATTTCAAAGGTAGAGATTTTCTTATTCCGATTCCATTCTAAGTTAAAATTGCACTACGACGAAATGTTTAAAAATCTAAGATAACTGAAGCGGTCCATCCGTGAAAGCAATCAATTACAATTTTTTTATAATATTTAGTGGATATTTTTAACTATTTTGACAATATCTAAGGCGTGCTTATATCAAAGAATATATCTTAGTACATGGGGACGTTAGAGATGTAAAGATTCACAACTGAACCTGACAACAAAACGTCTTTGGTATGCCTTTTTATTCTTTTACTATGTTATAGGCAAATATTACAAATTCCTCAGGTACTATCTGATTAATCTCAGACTTCAGTCTAATTGCATCATCCTCTTCGTTATTGTAGTGATATTAACAAAAGGGCAGGCTAGTTTTAAACGATCTCTTCTATAAATCAGTTTGTCAGGAATCAATAGAAAATAAACGTAGTAAATTTCAGATTTCTTGCTCTATGCTTTTATTTTCTTTCTTCTAGTTAATATAAACATTGTTATTTGTCTAAAACCGCCCCACATTACATTGTTCATTATGCCATTTTGCTATTCCAGTTTTTAGACAAAGAAAATACCGGATCTTAAATCCATGTCTATCTACACGTTCTATTCAAAACAATAGAAGCTTTCTATGGTTAGGAAAAAATCGACAATTTAACAACATATCTTAGTACGATGTAACAGTCTGGTTTAATTCTATCATCAACATCAACGCTACTTCAATTCTCATCTACAAGTCAAACTCGTTATGCAATCTCTTATCGCACTATAGCTTTTATTCGTAAAAATAATTTCTTTTTAATACTGAAAGACAAAATGTTGTGAAATATCAATCTGTATTCCAAAGATTGAAAACTTTAATATACTTTTAAAAATAGAAAATTAATTTCTGTCATCCTATAACTTACTCTACTTTGTGGCTAGGAAGACTTTCTTAGAGTATCTACGTATATTGAACATTACTTATGATAATAATTTTATCAGATGGGCTTTTGTGGAGATTGTAATAACTTCAATGGCTAAGATCATGAGTCAGTTGAAGCTAGACCACCATGGAAAACCACTAGGTATATACTGGAGTTCTAGTGAGAAGCAGTGACCAGTGGAGTTCAACCAGGTCTGTTGTGAGATAGTAACTCACTGAGAACAATGGTGAATGTGTCGCTCAATTTCGTGGATTAGGTGAAGTTAGACATTAACACCGTTGGTTCCCGGCTCAGTGGTCTAGTGGTTAAGTGCTCGCACGCGAAACCAGTAGGTCCTGGGTTCGAATCTCGCAAGGGGCGAGGTCGTGGTTGCGCACTGCTGAGGAGTCCTACAATAGGACGAAACGGCCGTCCAGTGCTTCCAGGTTTTCCGTGGTGGTCTAGCTCCAACTGACTCATGATCTTAACCATTTAAATAATTCTATCATTTCAAAGCTTATGATTAGTATAGTACATATTGAGTCAATAATTCTGTATTTCAAAATGACTTCATGTTTGATTGTTCATTTTGTATGTTTTTTATATGGTTCATATCCTCACAAATAATCGATTAAAGTAATTTATAATTCATGTCCATACACATAAAGTACGTTCACTTTTATTATTACCTTGTCCTTCATTGTCTACCTGATTATCCTTGTTAATCGATGTTGGATTTTTTTAACCATTTTCTGAGAAGATTATTATTTATAATTTATTTATAATTATGAAAGTACAATTACGTTAGTTTTGAAATGATAAGAATATCAGCTATAAACAGTATTTATTCCAGTTGCGAAGATGAATAATTAGCTTTTCTTAGAAAATACTTTCAAATGTATAATTTAAAGCAATCAAGCTTAAAAAAAGATAAATATTATGTTCATTTGCATGATTTTATTTTAGATTAACTCATTACAATTAAGGGTGGGTGAACACATATCAAAATGGTTGCAGAAACAAATGGATTCCAATGGTTAAATAAGATCACAGGATAGACAGACATCATCCTTCATTGCGAAACATTTGATTGAGACGGGTTGACATCAAATCAGCATTTGTAGTACTATACAAGTGCCTTCAAGGACGTATACTAAGGTTTTGTGAAGCCTTGGCTATACGAAAATTGAAACCCCCTTTATGTGTTCAAAAACAATTTGTCCTTACACTTAACTTACCCTGGTAATACTGATTTATTATCGAGAGTGGTAATCATATTTGTTTTTGTGTACTTCAATATTTTTCCTTTGTTATGACTTACCCTTAACCTGTCTAGTTGACCTTTTAATTTCCATATAAAAATGTTCTTAACAAGTATATGTGTGATCAGATTGTTCGAAATGTATTGCGCAAATATATCACATAATTCTGATAAACTACGTCTTCTCACTGCATAATCGAAATTTATCAAAGGGACTTATTGTTTTAAATAACTCATTACTTTCTGTAGTTAAAGCTTTTTATTGTTAGATCGAGATTTCATAAAGTCTTGATTAGTCCAAATCACTACGACAAATTTTGTTCCTCCACGACAACATATTTGCATAACATGTAGTTTTAAAAAGTTTTTATTCATTTTATAATTAATAAAATGAAAAAAAAACACATTCGAACTAATTCAACACTATGAACAAATTAATAAGTGTATAGTCACGAGTATTTCCATCATAAAATTTCAAGATTATAGATTATTAAAAGTCATGTTTACTGAGAGATATAATGCAAATGGGTTAATCTATTCCAAACTAATAATTTGCAATATTAACTAATGTGTTACAAAATTAGTTAAAAGTAATGTCTTCATGGGTGAATAGATCATGCTTTTCTACTTTGGACATATCATAACGTGATAAGACATAACCCATCTACCATAATAACAAATTAGCAATGGGATCAATAACCATCACCAACTGATCACTTACCTATTTACCCATCTGTAACAAATCAATCTTATTGACTGAATATATGCTTAAAAATCTTATCGTAAAGTTTTTGCAGAGAAAGTTAGGTAAAATCGAAAGGAACAGTCATTACTAACATAGGCCTTTTAGCCTTCTGCCTTATAAACTGAAGTTATTACTTGTAATACTACCTTAGTTTGGTCGAATATATTGAATTAAAAATTATCGCAATATTTATACATTAGTAAAAGTTTTCACTCTACAAATTTACAGCAACATTGTCAACTAACCGGTCTTTAACATGCTTTGCGAATCCAAAATCAGTCATCTTCAAATGACCTGAATAATCCAAAAGCAAATTTTCCGGTTTTAAATCTCTATACACGATATTCAAACTGAAAATAACACAAGAAAAATTGAATAGAAAACTTTTTCTTATAAATCGCTTAGTTCATATTTGTTAAATCCATGAGTTAGTATATTTGTTATAAGAATACAACTAGGCAGACAATTTTCTAAGTAAGCTTTTGATTGAGTATCATAACAAAGTGTTAAATAAAACTCCCAAGAATTTGATAATTCCGTCGGCTTACAACTGTTTATGCAAAAAGCATTATATAATACACCATGTACTCGTTTTACATTTAATATATACAGATTAATAGTATACTTTAATTGACAGCTAGATATTCATACAGCGATTTCATCATCCATTAGATCATATAAGTAATCACCTACCATGTATCATTTATTCTTCATGGTGTATATTACCGTGACTAATATATACTCTAAATCGTACTAAGGTGAAAAAGAATAAAGATGATGGGAAAAAGGGTGTATAATGAACAACCTACTTAATCAAATAATTTTAGCTAGTTTGAACGATGCATCATAATATGTAACCGTTAAAAAAAAACACTTCAATATGCATATTCATAAACTTTCTGTTCTGGACTCACTGATACCACCATAATAATAGTTTGTTAAGACATCGAAATTCATTACTCTATCTGTATTATTATTAGTTAAATGAGTGGTGACATAGTATATTTTTTTCTAAAAATTTACGTTATAACTAGATAACTGAGGTAAAAACTATAACATTGGTTACCACCTTAACCAGCTAATTGTAAGTTAAATGAAACTATGGGAATTGCAAAACAGGAGAGAATGGGAAAAAAATGTTTCACATCATATCTCTGTAAAACTAATTACATTATTGGTATAATTACCATATTAATCTTGGTATTTTATCATAACCTTTTTTTGAATGTTTCACAAATAGAAAATACTTATACTGTAACAAAAAAATATGATCTGATTTTTATCTTATAAGGATGTAAATACGGTTAATGTTCTTAGTCTTATGGATTTTAGTAAAAGAGTATATCATCGAGTTTTATAATTATTTATATATTTACAATTAATCCATGGAAGATATCACTACTTCGATGATAGTGACTAGGAATGAATAACATAAAAATAAATTGAGCGAAAATCTCAGTGAAAAGAGATTTGACGTACAGTGATTAGTACGAGTCCAAATACATTGCATTATATTGATAAATTGAAATCATTATTATTATTTAATTTACTTACTATTAAATTGAGTGGTCGTAGATATTTTTTTTATAAAAAAGACATCAGTATCTGAATGTTCACAATCATTCACTAACCACAATAAACCTAAATTTCATAGGAGCATCATCATGATACTTCATATATATATATATATATATATATATATATATATATATATATATATATATATATATATATATATATATATATATATATATATATATATATATATATATATATATATATAAATCCTTGAAAATCTCAATATGAAGTATAGAGACTTCTAATGCAGTTATGTGTTATTTATACACTAGAAGTTTTATGATGATTCCATACGTTTATTGATTATCTTATTTTGTTATTTAGGATGAAAAATTTTTGAACACTTCAGTTGAAAGAAAATTTATACTGAAGACTGTCTTCACATGCTGAAAAGTTTCATATCAAGACGAAACAGCTGGTCATTGCTCCATAGTTTTCACTTATTGTCTATTAAAAGGCGATCTCTGTTGCAAGCTATTTTCAAATTAATTTTAGTTGAACAAAACTACATTCCTCAGAGATCATAACAACGGACAATTAGACTGGAAATAGGCATTAAGGATTTAATTCATAACTACAGAACAGTCGTTTCTAGTAGACAAAGTATGATCGAAGATGAACGATTATGTATTTCGTTCCTTTATTGGTCTTTTCCATTTGACATTCAGAGTACTCAAATAAAGGTATAAAGATCACTTTATCCAAGTCTTAACTAGCAGTGTGAACAATAGCTGGCAAATGACTGAATGTGGTTAACAGAAAGCCTTGAATTTAGATTTCGTGGTAGTTAGTATTTTACTAAAACAAGTTCGAATGTCCACGGAAAAGAAGTCCAGTTTATAAGTTAACTCCGTGTTACTTGATAGCAATGTATAACATGTTATATAGTCATTACTGATGGTCTACTGTTGTCATTTCAAATTGCTATATATCATTAAGTGGTTATTTTTTATTATAGTGGATTTTTTTAACATTACACAGTTGGAAACGGTCAACAGAAAATCATAAATTTGGTTTCTTGATACTCAACATAATATATTTGCAAGGGTTCCATCAAAACGTTTTGATTTAAAATGTTGCTAAAAAACAATAACTAACCTATGTAAATATTTCAGTGCTAAAATAATTTCACTTGTATAAAATCGTGTAGTTTCAGATGAGAAATGACCCACTTCTCGAAGATATTTAAACAATTCACCACCGCATACATATTCGAATAGCATGTATAAAAATTTCGCATCATGTCCAGTCCAATACCTTGAAAGCAAAACAAAAATACAAACTTGAAAGTAAAGTTTTCTGTTATTTAAAAATTAGCTTATTATGTGAAGTTATGAAAGAGATTAGGAATTAGAGACTGATGTAATACTTTTTGAATTTGGCAACTAAATTATGAATAAAATATATCGAATAAATATTACAAATTTTCACAGATTGAAATCATGAGTCAGTTGAAGCTAGACCACCATTGAAAACCTGGAAGCACTGGACGGCCGTTTCGTCCTGGTATGGGACTCCTCAGCAGTGCGCATCCACGAACCCGCACCACCCGGGGCTCGAACCCAGGACCTACTGGCTTCGCGTGCGAGCACTTAACCACTAGACCACTGAGCCGACATCCAACGGTGTTAATGTCTAACTTCAACCAATCCACGAAGTTGCGCCACCGTACACCATTGTCTTCAGTGAGTTGTTATCTCACAACAGACCTGGTTGAACTCCACTGGTAACGACTACTCTGAGGAGTCCCATACCAGGACGAAACGGCCGTCCAGTGCTTCCAGGTTTTCAATGGTGGTCTAGCTTCAACTGACTCATGATTTCAATCTGTGAAAATTTTTAAAAATCTCCACAAAAACACATTCTGAAAATATTACAAAATCGAATTATAAAAGTGTTGTGGATGCGGAGGAATAGACCAATAATTATCATGTTAAGTCCAATGGTGTCCTTGGACTTTAAATGGACATTTCCTATTGGTCGATATCTGTTCACTTGTTGAATACTGTACAAATTGTTATTTTCTATTTTATGGTACGATGTGGTATGCTTGATTGGTATATAAACAAAGTATGTTTGAAATATAATGATTCATATCTCAGAGGTTGTGACTTGCGTTCTGGACTCAACTAACTGGGCTAGACAGGGAAGCGAGACCGATCGAGACTCTAGGCCGTCCGTCCGTGTTTTCCGTGTCACTGTAATTGATCGATCAATAAAACGCCTGCGTATCAAACCCTGCAGTCCACCCGTTACAACAAAAAGTATATTTATTCTCATTTGTTTCTCTGAATGATTATGATAAGATTATTATGAACACATTATGATAATTTGAGAATGACAGTGACTATATGTACTGCATACGTCACAATCAGTTTATAAATAATAAATATTATTATAATAAAATATAAATAATCACATCTTTCGTTTTCACACATAATAATCTTACATTTTATACATATTCACAATTTGGTTGCTAAATAGTTGAAAAGTTTCTTTAAAAAAATGAATAAAATTGAAACTATGCTATCTTTTCTCTATCTATTGTGGGATTCACTGAAAATATCAAAAATCTATGTTTTATACTAAAATGAATGGTATCCTACTTGGTAAAGTCTCCATACGGTATTTTATCAAGTTATATTCAGTATATTTATGAACTTGTAAGCAAAGATACCATAGCTCTAAAATTTTAGAAGCAATTTAAAATGAATATATATTTTAAAATTACAATTCAATTTTTCCCACTAATTCCAGCTTACACAAAATGATCTTATCAGAAGGGGTTTGTGGAGATTTTAAAAATTTCACACATTGAAATCATGAGTCAATTGAAGTTAGACCACCATGGAAAACCTGGAAGCACTGGACAGCCGTTTCGTCCTAGTATGGGACTCCTCAGTAGTGCGCATCAACGATCCCGCACACAGAGACATTCGAACCCAGGACCTATCAGTCTTGCGCCGGGCGTTTAACGAACTAGACCGCTGAGCCGGCTTCAATTGACTCATGACTTCAATCTGTGAAATTTCTAAAATCTCCAGAAACCCCTTCTGATAATAATTATCTGCTCACTGGTGACTGACTTCAGGAAGATACACCTGGAGTTCTAGTGAGAAGCCGTGACCAGTGGAGTTCAACCAGGTCTGTTGTGGGATATCAGCCCACTGAAGACAATGGTGGAGCAACTTCATGGATTGGTTGAAGTTAGACATTAACACCGTTGGATGCCGGCCGGCGCGCTGCTGAGGAATCCCATACTAGGACGAAACGGCCGTCCAGTGTTCCCAGGTTTTCCAAGGTGGTCTAGCTTCAATTGACAAAATGATCTGTTTTGAAATTTGTTAAATTTTAAGTGCCATTTTGGTGGATTCAACGTTACCATTTCATCGAAATTTGAACAATATGGAATGCCACTGAACAATCCTACACTTGTCTAATACTTCGAAAAAGAATTTTTTACAATTGTCTTGATGAATATCATTGTTGGTTGGTTCAAAGACATATTTTATTATTCAAAATAACACAGGTTGAAATCATGAGTCAGTTGAAGCTAGACCACCATTGAAAACCTGGAAGCACTGGACGGCCGTTTCGTCCTGGTATGGGACTCCTCAGCAGTGCGCATCCACGATCCCGCACCACCCGGGGCTCGAACCCAGGACCTACTGGCTTCGCGTGCGAGCACTTAACCACTAGACCACTGAGCCGGCATCCAACGGTGTTAATGTCTAACTTCAACCAATCCACGAAGTTGCGCCACCGTACACCATTGTCTTCAGTGAGTTGTTATCTCACAACAGACCGGTTGAACTCCACTGGTAACGGTTTCTCACTAGAACTTCGGGAGTTTTTCTTGAAGTCAGTCACTAATGAGCAGTTGATTATTATCAGAATGGGTAAAAAAACCTCATATCAAAAGTAGCCGTTTATTTTACCATAAAGACTGATACAAATCCTTTTTATTCAATAATTATGGAACTATGTTAACATGCAGTGGACAATATAATATTAAAAGTTGTCAACAAATATCTCTTCTGATATCCAAATTGAAACTTGAAATGTTTCAACGTTAAACTGGAGAAAAAAACCTGATGTCGTCATAAAAAATTGTTTTTGAACAAGATTCCCCGAATTCCTAGAAGAATATTAATAATAATTTACTTCAAAATAGTCATCATTATCTGATGTTATTCATAGTATATTTAAACTCTAATAAATGAAGTACCAATGAATTCTTTAAACGTATGTATATGCTTAGAAAGTAATTCATAAGAAAAACATTTATATTTATTAGAAGTTCTAGAAAATATAAACGTTTCTTGAAGAAAATATCTTGAATTAATAAATCACTTCTTGACACAATTCCTTAAGCAAGTTGTACTTTTAACTTAAAGGATATCCAGAGAATTTATTGCATTCGTTAAGTGTTATCACGACGTTTTTTTTATTTTAACAGTAGTATAATTTATAACTGAGAAATAACCTTTTTAAAATGAATTATGTTGTTTTATGCAAATTAATCAAAATCATGTTCATTGAATAAATTTTTTTAGAATGTTTTGAATATTGTCAACAAACTATTTGTCATTATGTGTCACACATTTGCATGAGGTGTTATATGAAAATAAATGTCAAACAGTAATATGTATATGCGAAAAATGACCTGAAAAGTCTAAATATTAATTTCATGATTACTAACACTGATAAGATATTTACTTAGACTGTAAATAAATAGTGCCGTAGTGTATGCTTCTTATATCTATCCACATAAGTAGTATGTAGAATCAATCGAAAGTGGAAAACCTGGCAGCAAAAGCTTAAGATCAAGTTGATAAGAATAGATAAGAAAATAGAATGGAATCGTCAACTGAAAGAATCATACAGAATGTGAAGGACAAATGATAAAAATTTGCACATGAAGTGTTTAGTGTAGAATTCTCATATTTTACGAAGATATTCTGTAATTCCGTGTTAAACAATAAATTAATTTTAACAGATTGAAATCATGAGTCTGTTGAAGCTAGACCACCATTGAAAACCTGGAAGCACTGGACGGCCGTTTCGTCCTAGTATAGGACTCCTCAGCAGTGCGCATCCACGATCCCGCACCACGCGGGGCTCGAACCCAGGACCTACTGGCTTCGCGCGCGAGCACTTAACCATTAGACCACTGAGCCGGCATCCAACTGACTCATGATTTCAATCTGTGAAAATTTCTAAAAAAATCTCCACAAACCCCTTCTGATAATAAATTAATTGTCCCCATCTATGTACTACGTCCTAACAGTGCTATTCTATGATAACTGAAGTTTCTTCATTTTGCACTACTCTTGAAATCGATAAAGTAATCATAATAATCATTCGATAACTGACTTACATTAGAAGTGAAATACTGGTCATAAGGATTTATTAAACTTTGGGGTATCTTTTTGACAACTAGTTCACAAATTCTAATATGAGCTCACTCTTTCTGATCTGATCCAGTGGAATGATTAATTGGTCTCATTATCACAAGACTTTCAAATTATTTAAATAAGCCACTCATGAAGTTTATTCTATTTAAATTTAGTTTACACGGAATAATAACAGCTAGTGAGCACAAGGAGAATAGACACTTTGAAATTGAGAAATATAACATAGACAACACTATATAATAGTGACATGATATCGTTCACTGAATAAAGGTGAAAAGTAGGACTAATGAATTTAAGATCGGTAATTTAAGGATATCGTATCGTTCTCAAGAATTAAAGATCTTGAATCCCTCTACGTGAGTAGTCATTGATTTTAGCAGTTTCTCAAGTTTAAATCAAATAACTTGTCAGTTCCCTGAGGGTTCAGATACCTTTTTACATTTTTTCTAGTTCATACTAAAAACTAAATGCAAATTTTATCAAACATATCGTTATTTCATTAATAAAGAAATTGATTTAAAAGATAATTTTACAAATACTGTTATGAAATAAATACTCTTAATTGTACATTTGCAAAGGTATCGAGTTTAAGAACTAATTGAGTATAATAATAAACGACTACCTACAAATTCGTTTCGAAATTAGACACAAAAACAAATACTTATATTAGATGGTAGTTGGAGGTAGTCGACAGGAAACCCTGGTTTCGTGCTACTTGGCACTCGCCAGCAAGGCGTACCTGTATTCTTATGGGAACTGGTGCTCCCTGGCGGATTCGATCTCGTGTCACCCAGCTTCACAGTCAGAGACGTTACCACTGAGCTATCCGGGCCGCGACCG